GATAATGGATGGATGGATATCTCAAACCAGACGTCCATCTAGTTAAAATGTTATCACAGATATGCTGAATTAGAGTGTTGATTAAAATAACATTGCAGATAGCTGTAGTTAGGTCAGAAGCTACGGCAAGTGCATAAAAATCTCATTCTAGTTCATGGCATGTTCTCAGTCTTATCCAACAACAGCAACCTTCTGCCAACACTGTTTAAATGCTTTGCTAGGCTAATATCAGATGAGAAGCTTTGCATGAGCAGCGTCTTGCACAAGTCAGACTACTCACAACAATGCTTGAGATATCTGGAATTACTATGATTGTTCAAAAATGAACTATACATTATACATTAATAGTCAAAATGACATTGTTGATATCTGTAATTCTAATTCCAGACAGTCAAACTCAGCTAATAAATATTGAAACAACTTGCCATAGCAGTCTACTTCCTCACTAGAGATGCTTCTGCTGGGCGTACATCCCTATGCTCATAGATCTGAGGTTACAGCCTGTAACTAACACTGTCTCATGTTTGTCAGGCCAGCTGTACAACCAGAGCAGACTTGGCATTTTGGAAGGAGAGGCCTTAAAGAGAAAGAAGCTAAAACAGAGCCTTTTAGAGAAGCAGGTGATTACAAGTCCTTAGGGCTCTACTACAAGTTTGACATAACGGGGCTTTCTTTGTGTAAGTGAAAACTAGTGTTTCAGTCAGAGACAACAGGTATCATGAAGGTGGTTATCAGCTTTCTTTGGTGACTTTTTCTGTTTCGGACGTGTTGACATAAAACGGGTCATGTGGCGATTCTTCTGTACAAAATGGACCAATGGTGACTTCTGTCAACAGGTTGTAATAATTAAGAGCTACAAGGAATATAAAATAATGATGACGCTAAAAAGTGCTGCTAACACAAATGATGCAAGACAGGAAGGCTGGTAGAAAACTGTTAATCATGTGTTAATACACTTATTTAACTGATTAATGTAGGTGCCTCGTTCAATTTAGAAAATAATATGAATAATCAATTTTCCAATCTGTGAAGCACCAGCAGTGTGAAACGCACTTGGCAGCAAATCAGGATCAAACATAAAAACATATTTTAGCGATTTCTGCATCACCAGCTGAAGACCTGTCGGATTCCCATGGCAACGCGATACATGCAGTGAGCGACACTGCAACTACACGGCTTCAGTGGTTTTAGTAACATTCAGCTCGACAGGTTTGCAGATAAAACACATTCCCTCAGTTGAGAATCTGTATCACATGTCATCAGGAAATGATTTGCGTGAAGGGAGACGCTTCTTACAGCTGACTTAAATGTGAACATAACCTGCTCCAGACCAGGTTAGCTCCACATCATCAGTTACCATGGAGATCTAGCAGGTTAAAAGAGAGCCACCTTCATGATACTGAAAACTGACTTCAGGCTCAACTTACCCATTAATCTCGCTTCACAGTACAGCCTTCTGCAGCAATATAAGAAGAATGATGTTTACTTTGAACATGACAGCCTGTAAACATATTCTAGTCCACCCCCCCAAAAACTGAGGAATCTGTAAATGTGTGTAATACGGGGTCTTGAAAGAGCTGCTAGCGTGTCTGTGATTTGTAAATGTAGTTTTAATTGCTTCATTCAGCTGGGACTCCCTGGAAAACTCTCCTGATACCGAGTGGTTAAGCCTGCTGAAACAAGTGACAAGGAATGATATGCAGGCAGAACATGTGACATCTTGAAGGTAGACGTGACAATCTGCTTTGTGTAATGCGGTCAGGTAGATTCAATTCGATTTCATATGAATTGCTGGTCACATTAACACCTCAGATCCCTCTTCATAGTTTCAGTAATTATCTTGACGATACATTCATGATATTGCTGTCCGTCCATCACAAGCCAGCAAATAGAAGCTCAGCATATTGATGGATATAAAAATAAGTTTTCTCTGTGCAGCTGACGTTCATCTTCATGTTTGAATCCTATTTCATGTGATTGCCGAACAACACGCCAGCATTCCTGCAAAACATTTAAACCCCATGATCGCCTTCACTTTTCCTAAATGACAGCCAACATTCATTATCATCACCAACATAACTTGGATTCATTCCTCTTCCTATGGTCCTTATTGTAAAAAATACACAACTTCAAAAACACTTAATTGGTTCCCTTGTTGGTAATTTCTCCTCTCAAATAATTTTTACATTTTTGGCAAGACACGTGCGACATCACTAAACAAGGAGCGCCACCCAGAACACACAACAGTTTCTCTCAGTCTGTCATTTGGTGCACCTGCAGCGCCGTCTTGAAAACTGAAAAAACAAGAACCAAAAATCATTGCTTCAAGCCAAGTTTCACTATCGGGACTCCTAAAAATAAAGAGGTGCTAATTGCTATCGGTGTAGAACAAGGGCAGAACTGGATGTGTGCAATTCCACTTGAACAAAAATAAATAAATAAATAAATCAAAAATCAGGGAGGGCAGTCATGTAGCTGGTATTTCATTTGATGCATAACTTCACTGCGAAAAGGAAATCATTGTTACCACCATGAGAACCAACACACAGCAAATCCAATGACAATTGTTTTTCCTGCTCGATGTTTGAACTGAAATACAGGAAGTATGTAGCAATAAAATTACACTTTACTATTGTGCTGCATAATTATTTTGTATTCTAAGCAAGCTCCATTTCAGCACATTAATGTTCTGTACAAAATCAACCCTTTTTGTGCGGTTAAACTCAGTACAATATGCTAAAATTACCATTATAGCAGAAGACGGATCGACTGTGATAATACACAAGGAGACGGAGACGATGTGGAGATGCGAGACTTTTATTGAAATGAAAAGTGATAATTAACGATAATTTTGTATCCAAGTTGGAATTAGGCATAAAAACAAACAAATTCTTCGAATGTAAATGACGGCAGATGCCCCTCCAGTCGTCGCCAAGTTGGTTTTGCATCTCTGTTACCTCTTCTGTCGCCCTCCTCCTCCCCCACCCCCCGCGCACTTCCTCCTTTATTGCAGATTGTTCCGCTCTTTTGTATCTTGTCTAGTTGTGGCCTTGGAGCGCCTCCGCCATGAACAGCTTCCCGAGGTTCTGCGAGGTGAACTCCTTCACATTCTGGCAGTAGTTGTTAATTTGCCCTGTTGGAGGGTAGCCACATGCATCCACGCGTCCCCACACCAAAGCACAAGCATACACCCACGCAAATATGCATAGAAACACACATACATACATACATATACACATACATACATACATATACACATACATACATACATACGTAGATACACAGTGCAGGGTTTGTTTGTTTTTTGCACACAAACAGACGGAGGTGGGGAAGAAAAAAAAAACAGCAAAACGTCAAATTAGTGGTGAATGAAGTAAACGGAAGCATCAGAATGTTGTCAAAAAGGCGGAGGAGAGCTGAGCAGCGTGAAAACAGCAGGGAAAGGGGCGGTCGAGTTGGAGATTGAGTCAATAAACTTTAAATTAATGTAATTTCAAGATAATGGCGGAGATAATTACAAAACAGAACCTGAGCTCCTATGAGGGGAGCAGAGGCGGCTGATGGAATTTTTTTTTTTAAAAGGGGGGGGGGATGGCGAGCACCGGCCGTGCACGGCGAGTGTGTTTGTGTGTGTGTGTACGTACCTGCGATAAGCAGTGTGTCCATGCGCGGTGGCGGCTGGGGGGGCTTGAACATTTTGGTGATGTCCTCCTCAGGCAGCGGGGGCTCCCCTCTGCTCTGCCGCTGGGCGTTCTCCTGCTGCCGCCTCTGGAGGTACTGGAAGGGAGGGAAAGGTGGTATTAGTGGGGGCGGACGAAGGAGAGAAAGGACAAACACAAGAAAGAAGTAGCATGGAGAGAGGGGAGTGTGGAATGGGAACAGATAAAAGAGGAAGGGATGTGGGATGGAGGTGAGAAAAGACAGGATGAGAATGTGAAGAGAAAGGGTGAAATAATGACGACAGGAAGGGGAGGAGTGGGAGTAACAAAAAAAAAGGCACGAAGTAAGGAAGTCAGGGAGAGGAAAAGGCAAAGTAACAGGAGGAGAGAGACATATAGAGGAGAGCACAAAGCAGCAGTAGATTGTAAAAAAAAAAAAAAAAAACGGTAGAGAGACAGGCAATGGAAACAGCAATAGAGAGGAAGTGAGACGTAGAGAAACACAGTGATGAAAGAAAAGAGATGGAGAGAAAAAAAAAAGAGGAGTGCTGACAGGAATGGAGTGATTTGTGGTGGTCTGACAGTCGGTAAATCAGTGAGGTGCCGGGTCTCTGGAGATCCTAAAAGCCTTGTTAATTTGGCAAGACGGCGGAAAGACTGACACAGACCGGTGGAAAGGGAGGTTGTGGCAAACAAGGGGGGAAAACGCAGTGGGAGCAACTGGAGTGCTTTCAACCAGACATCCCACAACGCACCTTTATGGGTGACTGAAGCTGACAAAAACTGCTAAGACAAACAATATGAGGATAAAAAAAATAGAACTCCCTGCTCAAATGAAACATCTCTCCTTCTTTCTTTCTTGCCAACGTGTCGCAGCATGACTGGGCCTAATCAAGAAGCATAATTGGGTGCCAATTCTAGAAACAACCCAACGTCGTTCTTGTACTTGAGCTCTACCTTTCATATATAATATACAGTGTCTAAAAGTAGTTTTACTCCCCGTCAAATTACAATGTAAGTACAAATATAAAACAACCTCCTTCAAATCAGCAAAGCAGAGGTAGCAATAGTGGTGCTGTTTTGCCAAGCAATTCCTTTAAAAAAAACAAAAAAACTCCTCAATCTCTGTCATGCTGCATGGTTACTGTGAGGGAACAGCAGTTTTTCCAGCTCCTGCCACAAAGTGTGAATTGGACTGCAGTCTAGACTCCCGTGCAGCTTCGACTTTGTGTTTGAGGTTGATGTCTTGGTGGAAAATAATCCTGTCCAAGCAGGTCTCTTACACACTTCAGCTGGACTCCTCAGTATTTTGCTGTATTTATTTTACCATCTACCTTCACAAGCTCTCAGGGCCTGCTGCTGGGAAGCATCACCACAGCGGGTTGCTGGAACCGGAGGGTGCCGTGCTGGGAATGGCGCCTTTCTGGAAATGTGACGCGTTCAACTTACTAAGCTTCACTATGATGACTTGAAATCTCCACCGATTACTGGAGTCGGACCAGGGCCATAACATGGTTACCAGGATCTATGATGTGATCCGATCAGATCAGGCCTTTAGTTTGTGTGTAAATCTGTTTAATACCCAATTTGTCCAAACATACTAACAACACTAATCTCTTGGTGAGTTAGCAATCACTACAGACAGTACAATGGACAAAATGTTTGCTAATAAATGACAATGACTATTTGGATTTGATTTACAGACACAAATGGACAATTATTATTTTTGGAGTCCAGCAGGCTTCGGAATATTTTTCTTTTGGTCCAGAAGATGAAAACAACTCAATTATTTCTACAAATTAATCTTTGAATCATATAAATTAATTAAAGTAGGATTTAGTTAAAAATGACTTTACATTGGTTCTCCGGAGAATATTATCATGTTTTGAGCTCTTTTCCACCAGAGCTGCTTATTAATTGATAAAGTATCATATTGCTGCTTGTGTTGGTGTTTTCTCTCTCTCTCTCTCTTGGGGTCTGTTTGTGTTGACCACATTTTGGATTACGTGTAATTATCTTCTGGTCCCCTTCGGCTGAGTTCTCCCATATTTAAAAATTAATTTTTGCATGCTTTTCCACTGGTGTCTTTTTAAATTGGGGTCCAACAACCTCTGCATCACACCACTGACGCTTCAAACACTTTATTTTAGTCTCTCACCTGTCTTTGGTTTTAACTGATGACCCCCCCCCAGATTTCTCATTGGTTTTGCATCTAATTAGCATTTACTACAACCAAAAGCACTTTCCAGCCATGGTTGACTTGCCTTTCTTGTGTTTACTTCTTGTGTAATGTAAAACTAAAAACTAAAATATTAAACGATTTATAAATAATGCTGCTGAATCTTTTAACTGCAGATGACTTCCATTATTGACCATAAATCTTGATTCCTCAGTTCACAGGATTAACACACTGCACCATTCCTAATCTACTGCAAAGTGTTGGCTGCCTCCGTGGATGTGAAAGCCAGAAAATGAATAAATCAGGTGGAGTGAGACATACATATCCTGTTACAAAGACTAACTTGGCCACAGATTGTGCCTGGGAACCCGCTATTTGCTAAATTCAGAAGGGCTGCAAATGAAAAATGGAGCTCTCTCAGCACAACGCCTTTTTGCAACTTCTATGATGATTAATAAGGTTCCATTTGTCCAGGAAGCGGCAGGGTCAATAGCACAAGATTACATGGAGCAAGTACTGTAGATGTCTGAAAGGTTTAATAGAGGCTCGCTTTCTTTCTCTCCGTGTGCGCTATTTGTTCATTGTGGAGATTCGTGTGAAACATGGAAAATCTAGACACCATTAAAGGGATTGTCCGTGTGATATTGTGTATGACATTAGCCTGTGTGTGCATGTGTGTGTGTCGAGGGTAATGCTCGGGGGTTGCGAGGATGAGAAGGTCAGTATGGAGAGGATGACGGATCATAATAGCTGCGGTGTGGGTGATGGCCCTGCGGATGTGTAGGTACATAGGTGTGTGTGTGTGTGTTTCATCTATGCGGAGGTCTACCTGTGGCCACAACCGCACGTTCCCGGGAAGTCTGCCTAATGTGTGTGAACTTAGCCGTTACTTTGCCCGCTGTCGGCCGAGATGACGATGACTCAGCCCGGATCGACATTAATACTTCAGACATTTTCTCATTTGCACTTGCGGAGAATAATGGCAGAGTAACGTAGTTGTTTTAATGTAGGTGTACGTTTGAGTGCACACCAGTGAGTCACCTTGTGCCTCTGTGCTCCCGTTTTTCCTGAGTAATGTGCGTGACCGTTTGTGTTTGCGTGTGTTTGCTGGATGTTTATGATGCATCTGGCCGAGGTTGTAGTTGCAGATGGTATGTGACTCACTCCCTATCTGTCTGTGTATGTTTTGTTTGTGGTCCTTTTGCCGTTTCTGGCTGACTTTGTTTGTGAGTCTTTACACATGGGGCACTGTTGTGATTGTGCATTTTTGTTTTGCAAAGTACTTCTGTTCTTGCTTTTAACCCTTGGAGCCCGACGGGCGTATGTGGGTCCAAATTCACATCCTTTCTTCGAAGTTGAATTGCGCTCGAAGTATTTTTTGCTGGTGTATCGTGTATCAACTTGACCTTTCAAACAATGCTAGTAACTTTTCAGCGTGACAAAGTGTTGGTGTGAAAAGTAACTTTAAATTTTCCTGGTTTGACACTTTCGCAAGTAGGCTACTGCTTGTCAACACTTGAGCGGATCAAACAATGACAGCTATTTTCCGTTCGTGACTAAGCGCATATTTTTCACAATTCCTAAGTCATAGAGAATAATAATAAAGGTTAAAATAAATAATGTGCAAGTATGATCATATCAATTGATGCAAGATCTGGATAGCCCATTGTTCCGAAAAAGAAAAAAACTCAGCGTGCATGCTTAGCTCTTGTGATGATCAAAATAAGGGCTTCAAAGTGGAGGTAGTGAAATGACCTTGAAAATGGCCGATGGCTCATAGGGTTCAATGAACTTTCAGTTTGTGATGTTTCTGTGATGTGTACAGACGAGTACAAACAGAGGATTTTTCTTTCTTGCTCGTTAGAATGGAGAAAGACTTGATTCACTAATACTCATTTTGGATCTTTATCCATCAGCTCTCCTTGCACATCAATGGTATTTTAACGTCTTCTTCGCATAGGCATAAATGCTGCAGTGACTGTATCCCAGAACCAGCCTGTATAGTGATGAAAATAACTTCTTCTTTGACAGGAAAAATAATGCAGCAGATGGAGGAGAAGGGTGTCTGAAATCGAAGTCATGCTGATCTGCTGTGGGCAATCAGCAACTGCAGTGAGGTGAGTGATGATAACACGATGACAGATGTTACAAGTTTAACATTAGTCATTCTTATCACATTAGTGGAAACTCCAAACAACAGAAAAGACTTTTTAAACCTGTGTCTTTTCTTGAAGTTTCCTGAGTACCGATGTTGGCGGTTGTGGCGATTTGCTTATTGCCCACGAATTTACATTTTCGAGTCAATGCAGCCTCTGTTGTTAAATCCTCTGGCAAAGCACCGCCGAACGTCTCTGGAAAGCTGTCATGCTCATGTGGTGGAAAAAGTTTCCAAAAGTTTCCCCTCCTTCTTTTTTTTTTTTTTTTACCTCTGCTTTTTGTGTAGGGACCCCGACTGTGACAGTAGAGTGTCCTCCTTCAAATGACTGAGTCTGCAGTGCTTTTTTTGTTTTTTCTTTTGTCTCCCTCACAAAGGCTTAGGTCGGTCTGAACATGATGTTAGATATTTTGACACAGAATTAAGGTCCAGTGTCACAACTCAACCGTACAAAGTCCAACTGAGACCATTCTTTGCATGTATTGGATTCTTAAATTACATATACTCTGCTGTAAGATGCTAAGATGCTAATTCAAAAAAAACTCAAAGAATTTAGTAAAATACAACATGATGCATTTGCATTTTGTTCAGTATATACACAGGCTACAGATACTGATGTTTATATGTTTATAAACTGCATATTTAACATTTGCCATTTACTGTGGTTACTGTTGTGTATCCTCAGTGTGTGTGTGTGTGTGTGTGCGTGTGTGTGCCCCCACGCTACCTGGTGCTTCTGCTGCTTGCCTGCTGTGATTATAGCTGCAATTGGTTGTGTCCATGTCTGACAGAAATATACCTGCTGTTTTCCTGCTGAGATTCTGGCTGAATGCCTGTGTGTGTGCATGTGCGTGTGTGTGTGTGTGTCCCTTATATGCATGCTGGTGAGTTGATGTTTCTGCTGCTTGTTGCTCATGGTGTAGGTGGCGTGTGCACTTTGGTTCCTGAAAAGCCTCTGTGTGTGTCTGTGCGTGTGTGTGTGCGTGTGTGTGTGTGTGTGTGTGAGATTTACCTGGTGCTTCTGCTGCTGTTGCTTACTCAGGTTGCGGCTGTAGGTGTTATATTTGACAATGTCTTGGCTCATGTCATCCACTCTGTCCATCAGAAGCTGAAGGCTCTTCTCCAAGTGGTTGCTGGAGGAAGAAAAAAAAAGTGTCAGAATGTCATTCAAAAAAGTTCTTGTAATGCCATGTGCACTTGTGAGCTGCAGTGACATGCACTGTGCACACATTTCACGGGCCACTACGGCTCACTCAGCTGCTCACTATTTCATTTTAATTAAATTTTACTGTTTGATGCTTTGATATAGCGATTTTGTCCAGAGCACTTTGGCTCTCATTCGCCCGTGCACTCAATCACACACCATGCCCCGGCCATCAGGAGCAATTTGTGGTTCAGAGTCTTGCTGAAGGACACTTTAACAAGTGGCCAGGAGGGGCTGGGGATTGAGCCAGAGACTGAACACCTGTGGATGATGTGGATGTGGGCTACCTCCTGAGCCACAGCTGTCCTGTTAGTCTGTTAGTCCTGGAAGAGGAATCCCTAATTTGGTATGCTTCCTGAGGTCTTTGCTGCTGAATAGAGTGTCAAAGGCCTGTTGCTTGCTTCTTGTGGCAGGCCCTGCACAAATGTGCCATCTCTGTTGGCAAGTCTGTCAGCTCTGGCCAGCCAATGCAGGCATTAACACTTATTAATAACTGGTGTAATTGCAAAACCATATGATGCAATTATAATAAAGCTTTTAAATACAGATCACATGTTGGCACCCGGTCTCTTGGAGTTACTTCTCTTCTAAAGAAATTCAAGTCAACTCAGATAATGTCAAAAATGTCCTCTTAGACTCATCCTCCTTCCTTTGATACTAAAGCACACAATGCACATTGATTTGAAAACAGTCCAAGCTGAGGACATCCCTTCAGAGACATATCGTCTATGTTTCCCATCTATTCTGAGCTAATCTTTGAATTCACTCCCGACCAGACATGTTGCTCTCATCTACCCTGAAAGACATCTGTCATGAAGCCCCTTGCTTGGAGTTTTGACAGTACTCAGACCTCAGGACTTTTCCTCTTGCCCTTCTACTACATCTTTGTGTTCTGGTATCACATCCCTCATCTCTTCCCAACACTGCCATGCTGACAACACTCACAACACAACGCTACCAGCGTTGCTCCTCTCCCTCCTCCCATGAGCCCCACTTTTAACAGGATGTCTCACTACTGCCTTAAGTTCAACCTTGACAGGGCTGCAGTGTTGTGCTTCACGTTGTAGCCCTCTTGTACTTTCCTCTGTGGAGTTAGATTGTTTCATTTATGAATGTTTGGGTGCTACATAATGCAGCATGTACTGTGGGAAAGCAGACTCTTACTGTTTATTTAAATGACAACCATACCCACAAGAACTGCCAACACTGTGTATATTTTGGCTGTGTGCACACTTGTGCTGATGTAACTGTGTTGTATGTGTGTTTCATTGTTTGTGTCAATATGCGGAGGAAGAGTGGAAAGTGTTTCGTGTGGTTTTAGTTATTTTCCCCTCTGCTGTGAGATTTTTCAATTAATAATTTCAAAAATCAATATTCCTCTCTTTCTCTTCCGGCTCCTCACGCTTCCTGTCTTCTGTAACAAGCTAAAAAATCATCAAGAAAGTCAACCTCAATTTCTTAGACTCCACCAAAGTCTTAAATGAAAAACAAAACAGTAACTTTTGCCTTGGTTTGGTTTGAGAAACTCATGTCCCCCAAGACCAGAAATGACCTGAGCAGTACACATTCGTCTTATCAATTTGTTTTGTATTTAATTCTTCAGCTCTCTGCAATTTCAATGAGATGTAAATGCGGCTCCTTTTAGAAAGTACTTTGCTTTTACTTTTTGCAAAGTTTCTGAAGAAATATTATTTTAAAATTTAAATAATGAATTTGGAATTTTCCCCATAAAGCATCACTTAAAACCAGTCACTCAATTCATTACTTTACAGAGGCCTTTTTGGCAGGAATGACTGCTTTCAGTCTTCTTGGCTAAGTCTCTACAGGCTTTGCAAACCTGGATTTCTGCAGTTTATCCCATTCTTCTGGGGCAAATCCTGTCAAGCTTAATCAGATTGGATAGAAAGCGTCTGTGAAGTGCTATCTTCAGGTCTCTCCACACATGTTCCTTGAGCTTGAATCCTGAGCTTTGGCTGGGCCACTAAAGGACAGTCAGACACTTGTCCTGAAGCCCTCTTGGCTTTATACTTTGGTTCACTGCCATGTTGAAAGGTGAACCATCGCCCCAGTCTTAGGTTTCTGCACTCTGGAGCAGGTTTACACGAAGAACCCTTTGTATTTCTCTGCATTCACGCTTTCCCCACGTCTGATGTGTCCATCTGTCCGAGCTGCTGACAAGTGTCGCCACGTCATGATGCTGCCACCACCGTGTTTCGCTGTGGTGATGATATTAGACCGATGATATAGCAGCGCCTGGTGTTCTCCACAGTCACAGTGCTTAAAATTCAGCCTGAATAGTTCCGTTTTTGAGACATCAGATCTTGCAGTTATTTCCCTCATGCTTTCAATTAAGTTCTTCATTGACTCCTAGTGGTTTCAGACTTCTTTAGTTTCACAATTATTCAGGCCACTGTGCTCCCAGGAATACTTAAATCTTTACAAATGGTTTTCTACCCTTCCTCTGAACAACAGTGGAAGTGCAGAGAGCCAACAACTATTTGTTGACACAGCAAAATAGTTTTTGTATTTGAATAAAAGTGGAAAGTGGGTAGACCTAGCAACCTTGTTTTCATTATACTTTGAATTTTAGGATATTAATGTTTAACTATTGTGTTCTTCGCTGCAATTTAATAAGGTTTTTCAGAACCTCAGCAACAAACATGTATAACCAAAAACATAACTGAAAAGGAAATCACTTTAAACAGCACTCTATTGCTCCAGTGTAATACCAGCAACTGTGTGCCACACGGGCTGACTGAGAAGTGAAGCAAGTAGGTGAACTAGCTGGTATACTGCCACTCCTGATCTCGTCCTTCTGGTCAAGTTAACTCATCTTCATATACTGCAGGTGCAACAGAAAAACGAAAGAATTTTATTTGCTGAACACTGTCCTGGGATTCAGCTCCACCTCTAATTTATCATTTACAACAGTTATATTGTGGGGTCTAAAGAGAGTTTCTTGGACTTCACACTGGGATTTATCCTGACACGTGAACACTGTGAATCCTGAGTCTTCTATACACAGTCGAGTGCCTTTCTAAGCTCTATTAAGTCAATTCTGTTTGCCACAGGTGGACTCCACAGAGGTTCTAGACAGATCTCAAGTCTTATTAAAGTAAACAGAATGCATGTAACCACAATTTGGAGTGCCACTGCAAAAGGTCTAAGTACTTTCAGACCTTTTGCAGGGAGAGATTTTAGTCTGGGCGTTTTGAATGAGTTGGCGAAAACTTCTAAAGACACGTTTTCAATTTGTCATTAAAGGTTATTGACATTAGGACGGTGGAAAAAAGATTTTATTTAATAAATGTATCCTGCAAAAAATTAGGGGATTTCAATACTGTACTTGACTCTTGCATTTTTACTATAAGCTGCTTGTGTTTAAGCATAGTGTTACCAAAAAGGCAACAAATATAAAGTCTGTGGACCACAACAGGAATTAAACATGCATGGAATTCACAAACCCCACATTTTCAAAATATATGCTCATCCTAAAGGCTTATAACCATTTTCTTATTATCAGCTGCCAATCAACTGCAAACACCTTAATTACATTTACATGTAAACATGCATGCACACAGAGAGAAACTTAATGTGCCTAACCACAGGCATGCTGATAACTGTATGAGCACTGCTGATGAAGATTTATAGTGCCAGGCTAACATGCCTTGACTAACTGTGACACTATCTATGTTGCCATTTTGCATCTGCGTGAGGTGAGTGTTAATTCAGGTGATCAAATAATTTGCTTGTATGCTTGCCTTTTGCCCTTGTACACCAGACTTTCATGCACAATGTGTATACAGATGAATACAGCAAATAGGCTCTAGTCAGATTAAACTACTTTAAGTTTTTCACTTTTTAAAAAATTTGAATCAAAATAAAAACATCTCATGAAAAGTGCATGATGTTCAGCAACCCTGCAGTCATTTCCATAATCTAGACTGCCTCAACTATTTCCAGTACAGTCATGTTTGCCTGTGAGGACTGTTGTGTGATCAGTTTGTCAACCCACAACAGTAAACATGAAAACTGATGGCCCAGGACCAAATCTCAGCATAACACTTTCCTACTGTGTCCCTCTGACTGTGTCAGAATTGATTTCTGCTGACGAAAGCCCATTTAAGACTATTTCATCAAGCAATATGGTAGCTAATTTGTGTGGTGTGCATGCATAATATATGCAAAGGAAATCATTTAGTCAGTGCAGGATCCTTCAAAACATCTGTCGTTTATGGATGTGTCAAATGCTTGAACTAGACAGCGTGTGTGTGCGTGTGTGTGTGTCTGTTTGTGTGTGATTTGGTGCAATGTACTGGATTTTGTTTCATTTAGTTATCAGTGTCCTTTGTTGTTGATTGTGACTGTGTGAGATTTGGAGAGCTTGTGCAGCAGCAAATGAGAACAATAAGACATTTTGACAGAATTAAAATACTTGATTTAACAAAAAGAAAAAAAGAAGAAAAAAAACACACACACAGTCCACACACTACTTTTTTAAAAACAGTTTTCTACCACATTTCACTGTCATTTTCAGGGAGATGGAGTCTGCCAAGCTGTTTGTGAGCATGTTCAGTTTTTACCATATGCCTGTACTCCTGACTGTAGTAGAGAGGCACACTACTGCTTAGATTTATTTCCCAGACACTCAAATATTTAATGTTAATAGTTACACATGGTTGTTTAAGTTACACACTGAATAATGCACTCTACACTACGCAATGTCTGGCCATAAAACTCCAAAGGGTTAAATTATTCAGGCAGGTCAGCGAGCTTTCCGATCAATACTGAATTAGAAATCAAAGTCTATCTAGGGATTTCCTATCATCACTCATTCTGTTTTAAGGTCTGGTTCAGTGGCAGCCCAAACAGTGTACTGTATGTGTGCTCGCGCCCACATGCTCATATTCACGTAGGACAACAGAGGAC